ATAACTTCCGCATGCCTCTAATAACCTTCCCAGGCCATGTATAACCTCCCCAGCCCCGTATAACCTCCTCAGGCCCAAAATAGCCTCCCCAGGCCCCTAATAACCTCCCCAGGCCCCTAATAACCTCCCAGGCCCCTAATAACCACCTTAGGCCCCTAATAACCTCCTCAGGCCCCATGTAACCTCCCCAGGACCCGTATAACCTCCCCAGACCCTAATAACCTCCAAGGCCTCTAATAACCTCTCCAGGCCACGTATAAAGTCCAAGCTCCTAATAACCTCCCTAGGCCCCTACAACCTCCTCAGGCCCCTAATAATCTCCTCAGACCCCTAATAACCTCCACAGGCTTCTAATAACCTCCACAGGCTTCTAATAACCTCCACAGGCTTCTAATAACCTCCACAGGCTTCTAATAACCTCCACAGGCTTCTAATAACCTCCACAGGCTTCTAATAACCTCCACAGGCTTCTAATAACCTCCACAGGCTTCTAATAACCTCCACAGGCTTCTAATAACCTCCCCAGGCCCCTAATAACCTCCCGAAGCTAATAACCTCCCCAGGCCCCTAATACCCTCCCCATGCCATGTATAACCTCCCCAGGCCATGTATAACCTCCCCAGGCCATGTATAACCTCCCCAGGCCCCATATAACCTCCGCAGGCCCCGTATAACTTCCCTGGCCCAGTATAGCCTCCCCAGCCACTAATAACATCCACAGGCCTCTAATAACGTCCCCAGGCCACTTACAACCTCCCCAGGCACTTAATAACCACCCTAGGACCCTAATAACCTCCCCAGGCCCCAATAACCTCACCCGGCCCTATATAACTTCCCCATGCCCCGTATAACCTCCACAGGCCACCTATGACATCCCAGGCCCCTAATAAACTCCCTAGGCCCCTAATAACCTCCCCTGGCCCCTAATACCCTCCCTAGACCCCTAATAACCTACTCAGGCCCCTAATAACCTCCCCAAACCCCTAATAACATCTTTAGGCCCCGTATATCCTCTGCAGGCACTGAATAACCTCCCCAGGCCCCTAATAACTTGCCCAGACCCAATACAACCTCCCCAGGCACAGTATATCTTACCCAGGCCCCTAATAACCTCCCCAGGCCCATTATAACCTCCCTAGGCCCAGTATAACGTCCCCAGGCCCTTAATAACCTCCACAGGCCCCTAATAACCTTCCCAGGCCCCGTATAACCTCCCCAGGTCCCGTATACCCTCCCCAGCCCCTTAACCTCCAGAGGCCCCTAATAAGCTCCCCAGGATCCTAATAACCTCCCCAGGCCCCTAATAACCTCCCCATGCACAGTATAACCTCACCAAGCCCCTAATAAGCTCCCTGGCCCTGTATATCCTCCGCACGCCCAGTATAACCTCCCCAGACCCCTGATAACCTGCTCAGGCCCCGTATAACCTCCGCAGGCGTTGTATAACCTCACCAGGCCCCTTATAACAACCCAGGCTCCGTTTAACCTCCCCAGGCCCCTAAAAACCTCCACAGGCCTCTAATAACCTCCCCAGGCCACTTACAACCTCCGTAGACACCTAATAACCTCCCTAGGCCCCTAATAACTTCCCCAGGCCCCAATAACCTCCCACAGCCCTGTATAACCTAACCAGGCCCCGTATAACCTCCCCAGGCCCCTAATAAGCTCCCCAGGCCTCTAATAACCTCCCCAGGCCCCTAATAACCTCCCTAGGCCCCCATATAACCTCACAATGCCCTTAATAACCTCCTCAGGCCTCTAATAACCTCTCAAGGCCACTTATAACCTCCCCAGGCCCCTAATAACCTCCCTAGGCCTCTAATAACCTCCCCAGCCCAATAACCTCCCCCGGCCCCGTATAATCTCCCCAGGCCCTGTATAACCTCCCCAGGCCCCTAATAAGCTCCCCAGTCCTCTAATAACCTCCCCAGGCCACGTATGACCTCCCCAGGCCCCTAATAACGTCCCTAGGCCCCTAATAGCCTCCCCAGGCCACGTGTAACCTTCCCAGTCCCCTAATAACGTCCCTAGACCCTAATAACCTCCCCAGGCCACGTGTAACCTTCCCAGGCCCCTAATAACCTTCTCAGGCCCCTAATAACCTCCCAAAGCCCCTGATAACCTGCCCAGGCCCCGTATAGCCTCCGCAGGCGTTGTAAAACCTTTGACAAGTTTGACCATGGCGCATTAGCACATGACCATTAGGACAAAATGCGTGCTAAAGGAATAACAGGAAAAGTTGGTAGAGGGATCTATAATTTCCTCACAAACAGAACACAGAGTAGTAGTCAACAGAGTAAAGTCCGAGGCAGCTACGGTGAAAAGCTCTGTTCCACAAGGCACAGTACTCGCTCCCATCTTGTTCCTCATCCTCATATCTGACAGACAAGGATGTCAGCCACAGCACCGTGTCTTCCTTTGCAGATGACACCCGAATCTGCATGACAGTGTCTTCCATTGCAGACACTGCAAGGCTCCAGGCGGACATCAACCAAATCTTTCATGGGCTGCAGAAAACAATATGAAGTTCAACGATGAGAAATTTCAATTACTCAGATATGGTAAACATGAGGAAATTAAATCTTCATCAGAGTACAAAACAAATTCTGGCCACAAAATAAAGTGAAACACCAACGTCAAAGACCTGGGAGTGATCATGTCGGAGGATCTCACCTTCAAGGACCATAACATTGTATCAATCGCTGCTGCTAGAAAAATGACAGGATGGATAATGAGAACCTTCAAAACTAGGGATGTCAAGCCCATGATGACACTCTTCAGGTCACTTGTTCTATCTAGGCTGGAATATTGCTGCACACTAACAGCACCTTTCAAGGCAGGTGAAATTGCTGACCTAGAAAATGTACAGAGAACTTTCACGGCGCGCATAATGGAGATAAAACACCTCAATTACTGGGAGCGCTTGAGGTTCCTAAACCTGTATTCCCTGGAACACAGGCGGGAGAGATACATGATTATATACACCTGGAAAATCCCAGAGGGACTAGTACCGAACTTGCACAAGAGAATCGCTCACAACGAAAGCAAAAGACTTGGCAGACGATGCAACATCCCCCCAATGAAAAGCAGGGATGTCACTAGCACGTTAAGAGACCATACATTAAGTGTCAGGGGCCCGAGACTGTTCAACTGCCTCCCAGCATACATAAGGGGGATTACCAATAGACCCCTGGCAGTCTTCAAGCTGGCACTGGACAAGCACCTAAAGTCGGTACCTGAACAACCGGGCTGCGGCTTGTACGTTGGTTTGCGTGCAGCCAGCAGTAACAGCCTGGTTGATCAGGCTCTGATCCACCAGGAGGCCTGGTCACAGACCGGGCCGCAGGGGCGTTGACCCCCGGAACTCTCTCCAGGTAAACAAGGCCCCTTATAACAACCTGAGGCCCTGTTTAACCTCCCTAGGCCCCCGTACAACCTCCCCAGGCCCCATATAACCTCCCTAGGCCCTGTATAACCTCCCCAGGCACCTAATAACCTCCCTAGGCCCCTAATAACCTTTTCAGACCCCAATAACCTCCCCGGCCCCATATAACCTCCCCAGGCAGTGTATAACCTCCCAGGCCCCTAATAAGCTCCCCAGGCCTCGAATAACCTCCCCAGGCCATGTATGATCTCCTCCCTAGGCCCCTAATAACCTCCCCAGCCCCCTAATAACCTCCCCAAGCCCCTAATCCCTCCTTAGGCCCAGTATAACGTCCTGAGGCCCCCAATAACCTCCCCCGCCCTAATTAAAACCTTCCTACGCCGCGTGTAACTTCCCAGGCAGTATAACCTCACCAGGTCCCGTATATCCTCCCCATACCCTTAACCTCCCCATGGCCCTAATAAGCTCCCCCGGTCCCATAACCTACCTAGGCCAATAATAACCTCCCCACGCCCCTAATAACCTCCCCAGTCCCCTAATAACCTCCCTAGGCCCGTAATAACATCCCCTAGCCCCTAATAACCTCCCAACCAATAACCTCCCCAGGCCCCTAATAACCTCCCTAGGCCCGTAATAACATCCCCTAGCCGCTAATAACCTCCCCAACCAATAACCTCCCCATGCCATGTATAACCTCCCCAGGTCCCGTATAACCTCCCCATACCCTTAATAACCTCCCAGGCCCCTAATAAGCTCCCCAGGATCCTAATAACCTACCTAGGCCCCTAATAACCTCCCCAGGCCCCTAATAATCTCCCCAGGCCCCTAATAACCTCCCCAGGCCCTGTATATCCTCCCCAGGCCCCTAATATCCCCTAGCACCTAATAACCTCCCCAAGCACTTAATTACCTCCCCATGGAATGGGAATGGGATGGACCCTGACACCCTTTCCCTACCTAGGAGCTAGCGTGCCTGTGGGAAAAAATCCCAAACGCCAAAAAGGAAGGGCAAAAGGGAGGGTTGGGGAGGAGGAAAGGAAAAAGGGGAGGATGGGAGAGGGAATGGGGGATTAGGGGGGTAATTAGGTTTGGTCTGAGGAAGGAGACCGACAGCTCTAATTCCTCAGACCAAGAGCCTCTTCACCACACCAAGGAGCCCCCCTTGAAGACACACAGGAGCGTAATTCCCTGAGTTTTTCACCAAATTTGTACTCTTGGTGTCGTTACCATCGGGAAAAGATTCTCTATCATTTCATAAAAAAAATTAAAAAATTTTGCGACATAGAATGACAATTTTAGAGAGGGGCTTGTGACAGTCACAGGTTAAGCAAGTTTTACATGTGGTTTTAGAGAGGGGCTTGTGACAGTCACAGGTTAAGCAAGTTTTACATGTAGTTTTAGAGAGGGGCTTGTGACAGTCACAGGTTAAGCAAGTTTTACATGTAGTTTTAGAGAGGGGCTTGTGACAGTCACAGGTTAAGCAAGTTTTACATGTGGTTTTAGAGAGGGACTTGTGACAGTCACAGGTTAAGCAAGTTTTACATGTAGTTTGGTTAACAAAATATTAACAATTAAGTTAACTTACTTGTAAGACAATAAAAAACATTGATCACATGGAATTTTTATTTTAACCAAAGGAAAGAACCATTGTTGTGGACTATCAAATATTCACTGTTTATTGTGTACCAAGACAATAATCAAACTTACTTTCATACTTTCTTTCTGATAGATTTTGTAGTCTTTCTGGCTGGCATAACATGTGTATGTGAGTAACCATCACTGCTGCTGCAGTCATCAGATTCCAGTTTATTTGGTATGGTGGTCAATGAGGCTTCAGCTGAGCCTTTGTAAGGTGACTGGCTGCGTTCAATGTCACATTCTGAGTCACTCTCAGTTTTTGTACTTTCTTCCTCAAATGTTTTTACATTTGCATCTTGTATTCTCTGATCGTCATCACTAGAGAATGAATCAAGAGTTTTAGTTCCTAAGTATTTTACTTTGGTTTCAAACATAGAAACAGTTGGTGCAGATATTTCTTTGCCTTTTTTTGACTTTGATTTTGCAGCGTCACTCTGACTTGTACCTTCCACTGCCTTGGACTTCACATAACCATCACTGGATAACTTATCTTTAGACTGCAAAGAATCACTTTTGTTCTCATTCTTTTTAAACTCAACATTTTTATTATTGTTCTTGCCAGAGAAAGAATCGGCAGTAAAGTCGTCATCGCTCACTTCTCCGGAGAAGTTATCCTCGCTGGTTTTTCTCACCGTCTTCTGCTTCCGTGGGCTTAACAAATAAACAGGATACTTCTTATTAGGATACACTTCTTCAAATATATCACGTTGAAAGAATGTAAACAATGTCTTGCGATGAACGCCAACGTACAATCTACGCAAATTTTTGTTCATGTTTTTCACATACTGTAACACTTGTTCTGCATATTTTTCCTTAAGTTCTTCACAACGTTCAGTATATCTTTGCTTCTCTTCCTTTGACAGGTTTTTCCATTCTTTTAAACACACATTACTAACTTGGGACTGTGATTCACATTTATCTTGGACCAAATGTTTTAACTTCATACGGAAGAGCATAAAAGGGTTCTTAGGAGGTTTGCATGGTTCATCAAGAAACTTTGGGATGGACATTTCAAATTTAATCGTATTTTCAAATGCTTCAGATGGTTTTAACAGTTGACGACGGGTACTTGCAGATGGGGCGGTTTTCTTAGGATTTTCCGTTTTCTTAATTTTACGTCCCTGTGAAAAACATTAGTTAAATAAGTTTTATATATTTTGATAAGATTAATAAGAAATACACATTATTTTCTTAAGCTGTTATTAAACTACACAAGTTGCTACAGTTTTAAAATAATTAACCAGATAGCAACCAAAAATATATCTGCTGAATTGAAAATGACTTTTCACTTTTCTCTTACTAGCTGTTACCACTCCTTTACCTAGATAGACACCCAAACATTTTACACAATGCAGTCACTAACCCCAATGTCTCCATCACCTAGACACTGACTACATCTCTACTGCCCTGGTTTCTCCTTGTATTTCTTGTATAAGAATTTAACTTAATTGGTTCCTAGGTGGAGTTGTGAAAGGGTTTGTTTTCTGGGTCACCCTGCCTCGGTGGGAGACTGCCAGCGTGTTGAAAATATGCAAATAAATAGTGGTCCCTCGTTTATTGTTGTTAATCCGTTCCTAGAAGTATGACGATTGTCAAAATCAATTCGAATCAATTTTCCCCATAAGAAATAATGTAAATACAATTAATCCATTCCTGACACCCAGAAGTATTAAAACAATATTTTTTTTACGTGAAATATAGATGTAGTACATAAACAATACAATGGGACATGATGAATGAAACATTAACAGCATAACACTTACCTTCATTGGTGATTCTTCTTAGTGTAAGGAAGACTGGAGGAGGAGAGAGATTGGATTAGTTACCGTTTAAAAGGGGAATCCCCTTCCATCAACACCTTAGGTACCAAGTCCTTTTCTGGGGTTACTTCTTTGTTTCTTAATGCCACTAGGACCAGCTTGAGAGTCACTGGAGTCCTGTCTCGCAAAAAAAAAAAAAAAAAAAAAAAAAAAAGTGTCCAGAGCTCTGTTTCTGGCGTCCCTAAAATGGGCCAAGACTGTCATTGTACAAGTTGCCAATATGGCTTGCAACATCCTTCTCAGGGACTCAAGAAATCGTAATGACACGATTGCAAACAAACCATACCCCCGGCCGGGATTGAACCCACGGTCATAGAGTCTCAAAACTCCAGCCCGTCGTGTTAGCCACTAGACCAGCTAGCCACAATAAGATTCATCCAACTAGGTATATTTCTACACCATAGGAAGGTTAGCACAGGCACCTCTGTGACCACAAATGCAAGTTTTTACAGACGAATCTCCAGCTAGAGTGGCCGTGACGAACTCTAGCTCAAGTCCCTTCACTGCCGTCAACATGACTCAAGATTATTATTATTATTATAATCAAGGGGGAAGCGCTAAACCCGGAGGATTATACAGCGCCTGGGGGGGGATGTGGAAGGCATTCAGGCTTAATTCGGGGAACTGGAGCACAGATCCAATTCCCTAAATCAAGAGCCCCTCACCAACATCAAGGAACCTTCCTTGAGGGGCATGACTCAAGAAAAACTTGCATTTGTGGTCACAGAGGTGCCTGTGCTAACCTTCCTATGGTGTAGAAATATACCTAGTTGGATGACTCTTATTGTGGCTAGCTGGTCTAGTGGCTAACACGACGGGCTGGAGTTTTGAGACTCTATGACCGCGGGTTCAATCCCGGCCGGGGGTATGGTTTATCCTTCTCAGGGTGATGTTTCTCCATAAATCTTTCCATCCTACCCCACATTTCGAAAATCCCCTTAATTTCTGAAGAAGGCACCTTCTTCCATCTCTCTTCCTCCTCTGCAGCAAGATTCTGAGCTGCGATCTGTTGCTCTTCCTGCTGAAGCTCTTGCAGCTCCTCTGTGGTTAGCTCTTCATTGTGGTCCTCCACCAACTCTTCCACATCTTCCAAACTCACATCCAACCCCATGGAACTCCCCAGTGCCACAATAGAGTTCACAACTGACACAGGCTCATCAGGGTCAGCCACAAACCCTTCAAAATCCCTCTTGTGGACACAATCTGGCCACAATTTTTTCCAAGCAGAGTTCCAAGTCCTGGTAGTCACTCCCTCCCAAGCCTTACCTATAAGGCTTATGCAATGGAGGATACTAAAGTATTCTTTCCAAAACTCTTAGGGTTGAGTGAGTGTCTAAGGTCACATTAAAGCACCTTTGAAATGACCTGCTGGTCCATGGGCTGGAGGAGAGGAGTGGTATTCAGGGGCAAGAACTTTACTGTGATGAACCCAAACTCCTGCAGAATTAGGTCATCCAAGTTTGAAGGATGAGCAGGTATATTGTCCATTACCAGGAGGCACTTGAAATCCAATTTCTTTTCCAGGAGGTAATTCTTCACACTAGGGCCAAACACTTCATTGAACCACTCCATGAAAATTTCCCTCATGACCCCAAGCCTTATTATTAGATCTCCAAAACACACAATTTATAACATTGTTTTTTTTTGAACGCTCTGGGATTTTCAGAATGGTACACTAGTAACAGCTTCACTTTGAAATCCCCACTAGCATTAGCACAGAACATGAGCAGCAGCTGGTCTTTCATAGGCTTGTGTCCTGGCAGTTCCTTTTCCTCCTGAGTAATGTAGGTCCTCTTTGGCATTTTCTTCCAAAAGAGGCCTGTTTCGTCACAACTGAACACTTGTTCAGGTTTCAGTCCTTCAGCCTCTATGTACTCCTTGAATTCACTTACAAATTTTGTAGCTGAAATTTTGTCTGAACTGGCAGCCTCGCCATGCCTCATCACACTGTATGCCACTATGGTTCTTAAACCTCTCAGATCAACCTTGGCTGGCCTTAAATTCACAAATATCAGTACTCTTTGCAGGCAATTTCTTTACTAGATCGTCATGCAACTGCCTAGCTTTTTCACAAATAATGTATGTCATAGGACTATCTCCTGTTAATTGTTTGTTGTTTATCCACACCAATAATAACTTTTCAACATCTTCGAGTACTGGTGATCTCATTTTTGTCAGCATATTTACCCCCTTTGCAACAACAGCATCCTTGATTTCCTTTTTCTTGGCCACGATGGAAGATATGGTTGTACGGGATTTGTTATACATCCTCGCCAGTTCGGCCACACATACGCCACTTTCATATTGTTCAATGATGTTTTTCTTAAATTCAATCATATTTCTCACCTTTACCAAAGGCTTGGCACTAAGAGCTTTCTTTGGAGCCATGGTAGCTTATTTAGCACTTGCAAGCACTAAAATGAATCGAATATTATGAAATTTCGTATGAACACGTGAGGGGACCATCGCTCACTGGTAAACAATGGCACACTGGCTGGGAAGGGAGGCCGAGGTGGCTCAGAGCCGTGAGTACGCGTCCAGGACGAACGACTATTAGCGAGTCAACTGACCATTTGTGAGCCAATGTTTGGACTAAAATAACGCGACAATTTCCGAAAAGGACAACTATCGAGCTCGACTACTATCGAGGGACCACTGTATCTATCTAGCTCTATCTCTTTTGCTCAAGAGGAACAGTAATGTTATACAGTACTCACAAGTAGTCTCGCTCTCATAAACAATGTTAACTCGTCTTGATTCTCTTCCCAGGCATCCATCTGCATTCTGTACTTCTCCATTTTCTGGAAAACAAATGAATTTCTGCCATTATGCTAAATTTTTAGTAACCCTGAAATTTTGAATTGGAGCTGCCCTACCATTCCTAAAACCATACCTGGCTATGTCTCATTCCCTAGGTAGTGAGGCCAAGCAAAAGTTCAATGTTTCATTCCAAATACAATAATCCAAGAGTGAGGTGTAGCATTCACAGTTTAACACAAGGCACTAGCACCATTATTAATTTGCTTTCATCATTATTAATTTCTGCCGTTATCAATTCACTACATATTCAAATTTCTTGTAAACAGTTCTGATCACTTTACCTTATCTAGTAAAGATTTGTAGTGTAGTTTTCTTGAAGAGGGCAGGTTTTTGTACCTCTCCATTGCCACCACGAGCTTCTCTGAACCTGAAAACTGGTCCAACTCTCCAGCCTTCTGGAGTTCATGATAATACATCATGGTAGGTCTGGTGGGAGGCAGCATTGGCATTCTCCTGTATCTGAAAATATAGGAACATTTCTTATAATACCTTGAATAATATGGGGGATAAAAAGTTACACTATCAATAAATGTAATTAAAGAATGCCCTATCTGTGAATAGGGCACAATCTCATATGCCTCATTAATGAGAAGGGAAGCTACCAAATAAGTATACAAGATTTACCAAGAACAAAAAAAAACAGCAATGCTACCAGAGTAGAAAGCATTCTGAAGGATGGATAAGGAATGGCTCATTTGATAAAAGTTACACATGTCTCAGTACAGTAGTCTCTTGTGTTACAATGAGAGGGAGTTACCATAGTTCTGAGTTATAATTTGCCCCTCAAAGAAGTTTAGTTTTGAGTTGTGGTGAAAAATTGGATATATGATATGCATTTGCTCTTTAATTATGCTATCTGTGTTATCATATCATGGCCCCTAAAGTGTGCAACGACCAGGATATCTACGAAGCTCAAAAAAGGGTTAAAAACAAGATGCAGGAGTTAGAAGGGCATTGGTGTCTGAGTATGGCTTTCCACCATCAACCATCTCTTATTAAGCAATGACAGGATATTTTAGTGGCCGATGAATCCAAGCTAATGAAAATAAGGCAGAAATTATCACACAGATGGAAAGACTTATTACTGTAGATAAGAGAGAAGCAGATGAAGGAGGACAATGCCTGCATGTTATATTTAAGCCAGCCCTTGTAGATTCAGCACTTAGTTCTGATAATAAAAATAATACATCTGAGCATGCAAAGTGCAGGCTGCAGTAAAAGTTGCCCTTACAGGGTTTTGGGATGAATTACCATAGAATCTTATTTTGTGGTTTTGAGTCGATAGTTTTGGGTTACGATACATCTGGAACAGATTAATACTGCAACTCAAGGTACCCATGTATATAATAGTCTTGGGTTACGATACATCTGGAACAGATTAATACTGCAACTCAAGGTGCCCATGTATATAATAGTCTTGGGTTACGATACATCTGGAACAGATTAATACTGCAACTCAAGGTGCCCATGTATATAATAGTCTTGGGTTACGATACATCTGGAACAGATTAATACTGCAACTCAAGGTACCCATGTATATAATAGTCTTGGGTTACGATACATCTGGAACAGATTAATACTGCAACTCAAGGTACCCATGTATATAATAGTCTTGGGTTACGATACATCTGGAACAGATTAACACTGCAACTCAAGGTACCCATGTATATAATCAGAATATACACAAAATGGAACAATAATACTCACTCAAGGAAGAGCTGTACATCACTTTTGTTAGGACCCTGAATGATGGGAAATACAAAATCAGGATTTTTCTCCACATATTCATCTGCACTTTTCTGCGAAGCAAAATAAAAGCAATTAGGGTAATTCACAAGGCAAATACACAACAAGGAAAAAATGCTGATTGATAGTAATACAGTAATGTATAAAACAAATTTCAACTATGGTGGAACATTAATTTAAACATTAACAGATTAATATCAACATTAAATGCAATCTTTTTGTTTTATACAGTTTATTACTTTTAATCCAAACTGTGCACGACCACAAACTTTCTTCTGCAGCCAAAATTGAGGCATGAACAAAAATCAAGAGAATGTACACTTAGTTGGCAGTCTGCCAAAGCAAGAGAAACTTTCAACATTCACACAATCCCTATCCTGCAGAGGCACTCAGATTGACAGTTCAGACGTCACTAAACCGCAAATATCCCAAACCTCTCTTTAAAGTGCAGGCATTGTACTTCCCCACCTCCAGGACTCAAGTCTGGCTAACCAGTTTCTCTGAATCCCTTCACAAAATATTACCCTGTTTACACTCCAACTGTTCATCAAGTCCCAAAAACTATTCATCTACATTCACTACCTTGGTGGAAAATAAATATGGATTAATTTTCTTAAGAATAACAAAAAGTTTGGTCACCTGCCACTCAAAGTACGCGCCCTTTTCCAAAAATCTGTAATTTTTTATAAAAATTTAAATGTGTGCAGTAGGTGGGATGAGAAGTGTGGAAATAGTGTAATGTGTTCAGCATTTATAATCAGTAGTGGACCTGCATTTTGGACCTGCATTTTTGGGGCCCTGAAACTGTTATGGGGATCCTTCACAACCAGCAAAACTATCATTTTGTATTTAATTACACTAATTAAATTACAGTAGACCCAAAAATTTTAAGCAATGTGGACTAAAGTTGCTTCTGGGGCCCCTGTGGGTTTAGGGGTCCTGAAGCTTCAGCTTCATTAATTTCATAGTCGATCCACCCGACATAAGTTGCTGATCCTGAAAACAGCCGTGGCTGAAGCAATTCACAAAAATTCCACAGTGTCTAGAGGAAATTATCAAGTGTTTCACTGCTTTCTGGACAACTATTAGCAAGTCACAAAAGTATGAAAACCAAGATGCAAGAGAGAAAAAAGAAAAAAGTTGAATGATATGTCCAGTGATGATAAAAACCATCCAGTTTAGACTAAATAATGGTCTGGGATGGAAGAAAATGTATAGTTTTCTCTCAAAAGTGCAGCTTTTTTGTAAATTATATGTATTATAGTGAGCAATAGCCTTTCAGATTTTAGCAGCTACAAAAGCACTTGCCTTATACTCATAGAACTCTCTGAGTGAAGTAATGATATGCTTCAATTTGTCTTCTTTCTCAAGATTCTGAAACTTCTGTTTCCATTCTTTATATGTCACAGCTTCTTTGTTTGGCAGTTTCTTTTCCTCAGCAATCCAGATCTGTTGAGAAATTGGCTGAGTTAGTTTTCCTTACGATTATCATAATACTACTACTACTAATATGGGTACAACAATTTTCTGGGAGATGATGGTTTGGCACCTTCTGGTCAGGACCAAATTACGAATGCACTAAAATCCCTTAACCCTTTCAGGGTTTTGGCCGTACTAGTATGGCTTACGTGCCAGTGTCCATGATGCACTAGTACGCATAAATTCTAGCGCCTTCAAATCTAGTGGGAGAAAGCTGGTAGGCCTACATATGAAAGAATGGGTCTATGTGGTCAGTGTGCACAGTACAAAAAATCCTGCAGCACACAGTGCATAATGAGAAAAAACTTTGACCGTGTTTTTGGATTAAAACTACTTTGCACTATATTTTCATATGGTATTTGTTGTTGTATTCTAGTTTTCCTGGTCTCATTGTATAGAATGAGAGACATTACAGAAATCGAGATGATTTTGACTGGTTTTACAATGACAAGTACCTTGAAATTGAGCTCAAAGTAGCAGAAATGTTCGATTTTTACCAAAGTTCAAAAGTAAACAAATCATGCTAAGCGTCCAATACACGTCAACTGGCGAGTAATATTCTTTCACAAGTGCGCTGATATTATTTATACCATTTCTACACTAACGCAGTAGTCTGCATAACAGTAAATCTTATTTTTTTGTGTGAGAAAAAAAAATTCAAAGTGGAAAGCAAAAGAAATGTAAGAGGGGCCTCGGGACGTGACTAATGAACAGAGGAAACATTATTTTAGTGCCAGGAATGTCTTGTTTATTCTGGACCCTATTTGGAAATTGGCATCTTTTGAAATTTGTGTGATATTGGCAAAATTGCTTAATTCTGACCACTGTATTGGATAGAAACAAACACATGCAGTTTAATGTTTATTGACAATGTTTCGCTCACACAGTGGGCTTTTTCAAGTCACAAACAGATCTACCTGGGGTGGAAGGTACATGAGTATTTATAGTCAGGTTCAAAATGTTGATGTCAGGTGGAGAATGTTGCATCTGATGATCTACCAGGTGGGGTTATAGAGTCTAAAATCTTGGGTAGCTTGGCAGGGGTATTGGACAAGTTGTGAGCAGACCTTCTGCAGTGTTCTATGTTCTTATGTGGGATAGCGATGAAGAAGTTTCTTGGCAAGTGGTTCAGCTATGTTATAGAAGCCATTGTTCTGGTTGAAATTGTTGGTTATAGAGATAAGCGATGATTCCAGGATTCTTCGGTATTGAGTGTTGTCTTCTGTGGCGATAAGTCTAGATCTGTTTGTGACTTTAAAAAGCCCACTGTGTGGGTGAAATATTGTCAATAAAAGATCACAGGTGTTTACAGTGAAACATATAAGTGAACAGTATTTAGATAAGGCTAAAGAGGTCTTTGTGGCATTTCTGGATTTGGTAAAGGCGCATGACAGGGTGGATAAGGGGGAAATGTGGCAGATGTTGCAGGTGTATGGTGTAGGAGGTAGGTTACTGAAAGCAGTGAAGAGATTTTACGAGGATAGTGAGGCTCACGTTAGAGTACATAGGAAAGAGGGAAATTATTTCCCAGTAAAAGTAGGCCTTAGACAGGGATGTGTGATGTCACCGTGGTTGTTTAATATATTATAGATGGGTTGTAAGAGAAGTAAATGCGAGGGTCTTGACAAGAGGCGTGGAGTTAAAAGATAAGGAATCACACATAAAGTGGGAGTTGTCACAGTTGCTCTTTGCTGATGACACTGTGCTCTTGGGAGATTCTGAAGAGAAGTTGCAGAGATTGGTGGATGAATTTGGTAGGGTGTGCAAAAGAAGAAAATTAAAAGTGAATACAGGAAAGAGTAAGGTTATGAGGATAACAAAAATATTAGGTGATGAAAGATTGGATATCAGATTGGAGAGAGAGAGTATGGAGGAGGTGAATGTATTCAGATATTTGGGAGTGGACGTGTCAGCGGATGGGTCTATGAAGGATGAGGTGAATCATAGAATTGATGAGGGGAAAAGTGTGAGTGGTGCACTTAGGAGTCTGTGGAGACAAAGAACTTTGTCCTTGGAGGCAAAGAAGGGAATGTATGAGAGTATAGTTTTACCAACACTCTTATATGGGTGTGAAGCATGGGTGATGAATGTTGCAGCGAGGAGAAGGCTGGAGGCAGTGGAGATGTCATGTCTGAAGGCAATGTGTGGTGTGAATATAATGCAAAGAATTCATAGTTTGGAAGTTAGGAGGAGGTGCGGGATTACCAAAACTGTTGTCCAGAGGGCTGAAGAAGGGTTGTTGAGGTGGTTCGGACATGTAGAGAGAATGGAGCGAAACAGAATGACTTCAAGAGTGTATCAGTCTGTAGTGGAAGGAAGGTGGGGTAGGGGTCGGCCTAGGAAAGGTTGGAGGGAGGGGTAAAGGAGGTTTTGTGTGCGAGGGGCTTGGACTTCCAGCAGGCGTGCGTGAGCGTGTTTGATAGGAGTGAATGGAGACGAATGGTTTTTAATATTTGACGTGCTGTTGGAGTGTGAGCAAAGTAACATTTATGAAGGGATTCAGGGAAACCGGCAGGCCGGACTTGAGTCCTGGAGATGGGAAGTACAGTGCCTGCACTCTGAAGGAGGGGTGTTAATGTTGCAGTTTAAAAACTGTAGTGTAAAGCACCCTTCTGGCAAGACAGTGATGGAGTGAATGATGGTGAAAGTTTTTCTTTTTCGGGCCACCCTGCCTTGGTGGGAATCGGCCAGGGTGATAATAAAAAAAAAAAAAAAAAAAAAATCACATTAAACTGCATGTGTGTTTATGTTTCCATTGTGTCGGTATTTTATACTATTTATTTTCACTGTATTGGATAGTTGAAATCGGTAAATTGGTGGTTTCTTGTACTCATTCAATAGAACAAAATGGAGTTCTAGCGAAATAGTTATGATTTTTGTCGACTAGTACATTGGAATTGGCTGAAAATAGGGCTCAAAGTAGGCAAAATCGCCGATGCATAAACATCGTTGAGACCGCTAACTTTGCGAGAGCATAATTCCGTAAGTTTTCGATCAAATTTCATACTTTTGGTGTCATTATGATCGGGAAAAGTTTCTCTATCTTTTCATAAGAAAAAATAATTTTTTTTTTTTTGAAATTTGGGGGACCCTGAGAACAAGTCTGAGAGGGCCTGTGGACCCTGAAAGGGTTAACAACCAGACTAGTTTACACTGCCCACAGGATGGGTATGGGGTACACATTAAACTATTAATTGGGCAGCTACAGATGACAGTGTGCGCTCATTATTTACACTGAAGTTGGTGGCGATAAATTGATTCAATGTGATTTTTTTTTATACTTACATTTAACCCTAGCTATGGTGAAGCTGAAAGACTTTCCGTTGACAAACTAAACTGTCAGGTGTATTAATCAGAGAACAATGCACCTTGGTGATGGAACAAGAACTAATTAATCTATTTGATGCATGAACAATTACACAGGAAAAGATTAAAGGACTTTAAACAACTTTGTTTGGGTGAAATGTTGTAAAAGATTAGTGCTACAGTTATAAAAATAAAATTTATAAAATTTACTGCTCTAGGAGCAACATGACCTGTGTTGGTCAAGCAAAAATGGGTAATCCAGCAAGGAAAAAATTAAAGCTATTCCTCCCATCCTGATTATTTCCTATTTTACAGGTACTTTGCGATCGAGAGCTTTCCAGTGAATATAATTTATAGTACAGCAATTTGTAAAGACTAACCAGTAAAAGAAGTAAGTAACAAATGCCCAATAAAATAATACCTGTATTAACAATTGTATATAAAAAAAATTGTCCTGGAACCTTGTTCCCTCCAAATATACACGATGCATCAGAAATAATTTTATAGAGGTAAAAGTACATGTGACAAATTGAACTGCTATGTTTAACTGTTGTGGGATCAGGCGAGGTGAAAATGCGAGGTCAGGCGAGGTGAAAATGTGAGGTCAGGCGAGGTGAACACCTGAGGTGAGTTCAGGAGACAGGTCCTAGGTGATCCCACAACAGCTCACTTGACCTGACCTTAGTGAAGTTCAGCTTACTTCACATATACTAATGTAGCTGACAAATTATGCCCACCATAACACTGTTGACAATATGTGACTATGTACTATTAACTACAAACAACTATCTTACCTCAAGTGGTGATCTAGGAAGGTCAAATGGACACATCTTTCTCATTTTATTTCTGAAGGTAAAAAAATGTTTAAATATTATAACAGCATTAATGATATAAAAGCAGCAAGGCATAAAAAATCTTTAACAAATGCCTAAAGTGAATTTTATTTTTTTTATTAACACATCAACCGATTCCCACGAAGGCGGGGCGGCCCGAAAAACAAACTTTCATCATTCACTCCATCACTCAAGCCAGAGGGGTGCTTTACACTTAAGTTATAAAACTGCAACATTAACACCCCTCCTTCAGAGTGTAGACACTGAACTTCCCATCTCCAGGACTCAAGTCCGACCTGCCGGTTTCCCTGAATCCCTTCATAAATGTTACTTTCTTCACACTCCAACAGCATGTCAAGTATTAAAAACAATTTGCCTCCATTCACTCCTATCAAATACACTCATGCATGCTTGCTGGAAGTCCAAGCCCCTTGTACACAAAACCTTAACCCCCTCCCTCCAATCTTTTCTAGGCCGATCCCTACCCCGCCTTCCCTCCACTACAGATTTATACACTAAGTCATTCTGTTTTGTTCCATTCTCTCTACATGTCCAAACCACCTCAACCCTCTGGATAATAGTTTTGGTAATCCCACACCTCCCAATTTCCAAGCTACGAATTCTCTGCACTATATTCACACTACACATAGCAAAGACATGACATCTCCACTGCCTCCAGCCTTCTCCTTGTTGCAACATTCATTACCCATGCTTCACACCCACAGTGTTGGTATAACTATCTCGCTTGCATTCCCCTCTTTGCTTCCACCGACAGATTTTTGTCTCCACAGACTCCTAAGTGCACCACTCGCCCTTTTTCCCCCTCATCAATTCTATGATTCACCTCATCCTTCATAGACCCATCTGCTGACAAGTCCACTCCTAATTATCTGAATACCTTCACCTCCTCCATACTCTCTCCCTCCAATCTGATATCTAGTCTTTTGTCACCCAATCATTGTTATCCTCATCACCTTACTCTTTCCTATATTCACTTAACCCCTTGACTGTCGCAACCCCCAATCCTGAGGTGTCTCCTGGTGTCGCAAAATTTCAAAAAAAAAAAAAAAAAAAAAATTCTCATGAAATGATAGAGAATCTTTTCCCGATTGTAATGACACCAAAAAAACTAAATTTGATGGAAAACTGGCGGAATTATGCTCTCGCGAAGTTAGCGACCTCGGCGATATTTACAAAGCGGTGATTTCGCCCACTTTGAGCCCTATTTTCGGCTAATTCCGGTGTTCCAGTCGACCAAACTCATAGCGATTTCTTTAGAACTCCATTTTTTCTATCGATTGAGTACAAGAAACTGCCCATTTACCGATTTCAACTACCCAATAATGTGGTCAGAAATTTGCAATTTGGCCAATTTCACGAAAACTAAAAAATATGACAATTTCAAAATAAGGTCCAGAATGAACAATGCAGACATTCCTGGCTCTAAAATAACATTTTCTTTGCTCATCAGTCATGTCTCAAGGCCCCTCTGATATTACTCTTGTTTTCTATTTTGAATTTTTATTCAAACAAAAAATAGAAGACTTACTATTATGCAGACTACTGCAATATTGTAATAATTGTATAAATAACATCAACCCATTCATGACTGCATATTAGAATGGCTAGTTGGACATTTATTGGACAATGACATCATTTGTTTACTTTTGAACATTGGCAAAAATCAAACATTTCCCCTACTTTGAGCTAGATTTCCAGGTTCTTTTTATAGTAAAATCAATCAAAATCACCTCTATTTCTATAATAAGTTTTCCATTTTATCAAATGAGACCAGGAAAACGAGAATACAACCATAGATATTATACGAAAATAGACCACAAAGTCGGCATTTTAATTAAAAAAAAACAGTCAAAGTTTTTTTTTTCTCATTATGCACTGCGTGCTCCAGGATTTTTTTTATATGGTGCATACTGACCACACAGACCCATTCTCTCACAACTGGGCCTACCAGCTTTCTCCTGCTTGATTTGAAGCCGCTAGAATTTATGAGTATATATACTGTACATCAAACATGGTACCTCGTAAGACGTATATATACGGCCGCGACAGTCAAAGGGTTAATTTTCTTTTTACATACCCTACCAAATTCATCCACCAACCTCTGCAACTCTTCAGAATCTCCCAAAAGCAGTGTCATCTGCAAAGAGCAACTTTGACAACTCCCACTTAGTGTTTGATTCTTTATCTTTTAACTCCACACCTGCCAAGGCCCTCGCAGTCACTTCTTACAACCCCATCTATAAATATGTTGAACAGCCACAGTGACATCACACATCCTTGTCTAAGCCCTACTTTTACTGGGAAACTCCCTCTCCTACATACTCTAACCTGAGCCTCACTATCCTCGTAAAAACTTCACCGTTTTCAGTAAACTACCTCCTATACCATACACCTGCCGAATTGCTTCCCTATCCACCCTGTCATATGCCTTTTCCAAATCCATAAATGCAACAAAAACCTCTTTAGCATCATCTAAATACTGTTCACCTATGTTTCAATGTAAACACTTGGTCTACATGCCCCCTACTTTTCGTAAAGCCTCCTTGTTCATTTGCCATCCTACTCTGTCTTACTCTTAATTCTTTCAATAACTACCATACGCTTTACCAGGTATACTCAACAGACTCATTCCCTATAATTTTTGCACTTAACCCTTTGAGGGTCCGTCCCGTAGATCTACGACTTTACGTTCAGGGTCCAAACCATAGATCTACGTCATGAGCTCAGCTCACTCTGATAAACTGTGACTGGTACATTTGGGCCTAGATACGAGAGAATACATCTATGTGGTATGTGTGCACCACATAAAACAGATCCTGCAGCACGCTGTGTATAATGAGAGAAAAAAACTGAAATCATGATTTTTCGATTAAAACAGCGACTTTGCAGTGTTTTTTCGTATGTTTTTTATAGTTCTATTTGCGATTTCTTGGTCTCATTTGATGGAATGGAAGACATATTACAGAAATAGAGATGATTTTGATTGGTTTTAGCACTGGAAATGGCTTGAAACTGAGCTCAAAGTAGCAGAAATGTTAATTTTTTGCCGATATTCAAGAGTAAACAAACGACCTCACACGTCTAATACACGCCAGCTGGTGGGTCTAATATGCATTCACAAATATGGTGATGATATTTATACAATTATTACAGTATTGCATAACAGTAAATCTTCTATTTTTTGGTGTGAATAAAAATTCATTACGTGAATAAAAAATCAAAATGGAATTTATTTGTAAAGCCTCAAAACATAACTAATGAACAGAGGAAATGTTAGTTTAGTTCCAGGAATACCTACATTGTTTATTCTGGACCCTATTTTGAAATTGGAATATTTTGAACTTTGTGTTAAATTGGCCAAATTAACAATTTCCGATCACTTTAATTTGTAGTTGAAACAGTTGACTTGGCGATTTCTTGTGCTCAATCGATAGAATAGAAGTAATACTAGTGAAATAGCTAAGAATTTGGTTGACTGGAATAATGTAATTGGCCTAAAATGGGAGTCAAAGTCGGCAAAATCGCTGATTCGTAAATATCGCTGACACATCAAAATTAGCGAGAGCATAATTTCGTCAATTTTCCATCAAATTTCGTACTTTTTGTTTTATTACCTTCACAAAAAGATTCTCTACCATTTCATAAGAAAAAGAAAAAATTTTTTTTTTGAAAATTCTTGGACACTGGGGCACTACTTCAGATTTGGGCCTTGGACCCTGAAGGGGTTAAGTGAATATCACAGGAACAAGAACTATTAAGTTTTATATAGGAAATAAGTCAAAGCTGAAGTTAACATTTACCTGCCATCTTATACGATAAAGAGAAAAAATAAATCGTGCCGGGCGCAAAAGTATTTAATGTGCTTTACAATTCACATTCAAGTCAAAACAGTAGTACCTTACTGCTACAGGTTTAATTTTACTTTAGTATCAGAACCCAGATGTTTCCTCTATATTAATCTGCTTCCTATTACTATTAATTTTTATTCTTTGAATCACTTAACACCAGCTGTCCCCCCACAGTAGTAGGAGGCCACCTGACACCAGCTGTCCCCCCACAGTAGTAGGAGGCCACTTTAGGAAAAAACACCTTCACTAGCACTCAATCACATTCTTGCCAGAGATGCACCAACATTACAGTTCAGATGCCCTTCCAAACTGCAACATCCCCACCTCTCCTTCAGAGTGCAGGCTCTACTTCCCACCTCCAGGATTCAAGTCTGGCTAATAGGTTTTTTTTAAATTCCCTCATAAATGTTACCTTGCTCACACACCAACACATCACATAAAAACCATTTGCCTCGACTCACTCCTAACACACACACACACACACACATATATATATGCCCTGGTGGATGTGCAAGCTCCTTGCATACAAAACTTCCTTTATCCTCAACCTCCAACTTCTTATAGGATGACCCCTACCCCTACCTTCCCTCCACTATAGATTGATACACCCTGCAAGTCATACTTATTTTCCTCAGTCCTCATTATACAGTGTCATTTTCCTGATTATCTTGAAATTTGCCTTTTTGTGTTCTTGAAGGTAAGGTCGGCTGACGTTACACCCGGATCCTTCACAAGTTCCTTTCATTCTAATTGGTGATCTTGTGTTTTAAACAGTGCTCCTTTTCTTAATTCAGGTTTTCCTTATCTAAGCATTTGGAACTTCACACCACTGAAAGTTATTTTCCATTGTCCAGTGAATGACTGATTATTTCTTGAAATTCTTCCATGTCTTCTACTGAGGTGCTTTCACGCATACAGTACAGCAGACGACCATAATTCACACACTTTACATTTATGAAAACTGCTAATAATGATTTCCATGACTTATAGACTGAAAGAATTCTGGAAAAAAATAGGGTTGCATTCTTCAGACCTTTGAGAGACCTATAATTTTTTTGCATTTTTCACTGTGTTCAGCAATCCAGTAAAACAATCATATTGGTCTCAAAAATTTTTTTCATATTTTATTCACTGCCAGTGATGA